TTTTGTCCCTTATTAATTCCCTTTTTCCTTTCCCCTGTTGTTTTCATTAAACTTGTTATAGTCTTAACTTCCAACCTTGTGTGAAATATGTCTTCTCTATTCCTTTTTTGTCCTCCCCTGGGAGGGTGGATGACAATAGGGAGAAAATCCTACTCCTTGTTTCATTTGGGTTTGCCCTGAGCCCTAAATGAAGACAGGATTAATTGGCACCCAACGTGGGGCATGAGTTTGGAAATTTTTTTAGCTTTTTATTTTCCAACAGGACAAGTTGGAAGTTAAGACTAAAATGGCCCTCATAATGGTGCTTCTGTGAGGCCAGTTACATAATATTTTAGTGAGCTCTTCTGTTGCTGTCCTGATGTATGCCATGCTGACTTGACCTGTCTCTATGTTATATTGCTATATGTTTTGGACTATGATTTATGCTGGGATGAGTTGGGTTAAGGCTTTACCTGGATACCTTGGCCACTCTCTTGTGGATATGGTTATAAAAAGTGATTCTGCTCCTTTGCCTGGCAAGGTTGCCCCACAGGAGTTTGGAGAAATCAGGAATGGCTATTATGACTCTGTGTTGTGGTTCTTTATTGTAATTCAAATGGAGCTAATTGTAAGACTGTGATGTGCTCAGGTCTCTTTTCGGGAGAGTAATGTTGCTTTAAAAGCCGCTTTGGCTCAGAACCCAGCATCCAGCCTTGGCCCAAGCTGCCACTGCCTGTGGCCCCCCATTTTGGTGCCAGCAGGTGTGGCAGGCACCAGTGGGGACACAGGCAATGTCATCCAGTAGGCTCCAGTCACCACCCACAGGAAGAAAACAGACCACCTGGTGAGGAAAGAGAATTTAAACACAGAGGCAAGAGAGGGGATATCTCAAGAGGAATTTCAGCCAGAGATTAAAACTGTCCCTGAAACAGCTATGAATTTTTGAAAAGACTATGCCCGGGGGGATAGTGAATCACTGATGACATGGCTGTCATGATTTTGGGACACTAGAGCCGATACAATAGATCTAGATGGGAGACATAAGTGATTTGGAGCATTAGCCAAGGAGCAGGGCATTGATAGGTTCATTTGGAATGACATCGGCACTGGCAGTCTTTGGGAACGTCTCATAACAGCTCTAAAGAGAATATATCCTCATAAAGAGGATACAGAATGGAGTTCTACTGAATGGAACACCATAGAGCAGAGCATCAGACATTTGAGAGAGCTGGCACTCCTGCAGGTAATCTGTGAAGAGCAAACACTTGCAGATCCTGATCAAGTACCCTGCAAAAGTTCTCTGTTAAAGAAGTTTATACAGAGTGCCCCTCCTAAGTATTCCAGTACTTCAGCAGTAAGGCTCTTTGCAAGGTGGGAGAACAAAACACCACCAACTGTGGATGAGTTTGCTACCCAACTCAGGCAACTTGAAGATACTGGTTTTTACCACATGCACCTCTGAATTGCAGCCACAGAAAAGGCACTTGAGGACTTCAAAACTGACATCAAACCCATTTTGACAAGCTGACTGATAAGCTGCTCCCAACAGAGAGGGGAAGTGTTACACGTTCTTCTGAATGGATCCATGTTTCAGCCATTAGGAACAGATGCTTTCCTAGATCAGCCCAGGGTAGGGAGTATCCAACACAAAATTTTCTGTGGTACACTGCTCGACCATGGCAAGAATATGAATGATAGCACAACAAACCCAATGCTGCTCTGCATGCCAGAGTAGAGGAACTGCGAGGTAATGCTGCCAGAGAGGACTGACCCAGGAGAACGGCTGCTCCCATCACCCAGGAGGGTTAGAAAGGCCCTGCCTCCAGACAGGTGGAAAAAAGGCATAATCAAGTTTACTGGACAGTGTGGATTTGATGGCCTGGCACATCAGAACCTCAGAGGTATAGAGCCCTGGCAGTGCACAATGCACTCTAGTGTCATAATATCATAGAGGAACAGAATCCATTACCATCTCTGGAGTGACAGCAGAGTCTCAAAGGCTGACTGTATTGGATGCTGAAGTGAGCCTAACTGGGAATGACTGGGGGATACTGTGACTGGCCCAGATGCTCTGTGCATTCTGGTCATAGACTTCCTATGGAAAAGGTACTTCAAAGACCCAAAAGTGTACAAGTGGGCTTTTGGGATAGCAGCTGTGGAGATTGAGGGCATTGACCAGCTGTCTGCCTTGCCTGGCCTTTCAGGTGACCCTTCCATAGTGGGCCTGATGAGGGTGGAGGAAGAGTGAGTACCAGCTGCTTCTCTTACAGTACATCGCCAGCAATGCAGGACCAACAGGTAGTCTCTGGTCCCTATATATAAACTGGTTTGCCAACTAGAGAGCCAGGGAGTGATCAACAAGACTTACTCAGACTTCAACAGTCCTATATGGCCAGTACAGAAGCCTGATGAAGAATGCAGATTAACAGTGGACTACTGTGGCCTGAATGAAGTGACACCACCTATAAGTGCTGCTGTGCCAGATATGCTGGAACTTCAATTTGAGCTAGAGTCCAAGGCAGCTAAATGGTATGCCACAATTGATATTGCTAATGCATTTTTCTCCATTCCTTTAGCAGCAGAATGCAGGCACCAATTTGACTTCACCTGGAGGGGCATCCAATATACCTGGAACTGACTGCCCCAGGGGTGGAAGCACAGTCTGACTATCTGCCATGGACTGATCCAGACTGTACTGGAGAGGGGTAGTATTCCAGACCATGTAGTACATTGAGGACATCATTGTATGGAGTAATACTGCAGAAAGAGTTTTTGAGAAAGGTAAGAAAGTAATTGACATTCTGTTGGGAGCAGTGTTTGCCATAAAGAGAAGCAAAGTAAGGGGACCTGCCAGAGAGATCCAGTTCTTGGGGATTAAATGGCAAGATGGGCATCGCTACAAGATAGCAGCCATGTCTCCATCCACTAATAAGAAAGAAACACAAGTTTTCTTGGGTGTGGTGGTGTTTTGTAGGATGCATATTCCTGGGAACAGTCAGATTGTGAGACCCTTCCATGAAGTGACCCGAAAGAAAAACTGTTTTAAATGAGGCCCCGAACAACAACAGGCCTTTGAGCAAATTAAATGAGAGCTAGTCCATGCAGTAGCCCTGGGACATGTCCAAACAAGACAAGAGATTAAGAACATGCTCTATATCACAGATTGTGGTCCTACTTGGAGCTTCTGGCAAAAAGCAATGGGAGAGACTCGAGGCTGCCCCGTAGGATTTTGGAGACAGGGATATAAGGGCTCTGAGACCAACTACACACCAGCAGAAAAGGAAATACTGGCTGCCTATGAGGGAGTCTGAGCTGCTTCAGAAGTAATCAGTACTGAGGCACAGTTTCTCCTGGAACCCCAACTGCCAGTCCTGGGCTGGATGTTTAAAGGGAGGATTGTATCTACACACCATGCCACTGATGCCATCTGGAGTAAATGTACTGCCCTGATAAGCCAGTGAGCTTGAAGAGGGAGCCCCAGTCGCCGAGGCATATTGGAAGTGATCACAAACTGGCCAGAGAATATGGATTTTTGAAATGCCACCAGATGAGTTAGTGACTTGGGCCGAGAAAGCCCCCCCCCATATAATGTACTCTCAGATAATGAAAAGCCATACGCTCTTTTTACTGATAGATCTTGCTGCCTTGTAGGAAATCAGCAGAGGTGGAGGGCCACTGTCCTGGGATTGACAGTGAAGGTAAATACCTCCAATGGCTACATCATCCTACCTGCTGAAGAACAGGCTGAATCAATCCATGAAAACATCTTTTCTTGAATAACATGAGAAATTATTGGTGCACAAACTTCTAAAATAAGAGATGAATCTCCTTCCTAATGTCTTCATGTCAACATCTACTTCTGAAGAGCATGTTCAGGCACTCTCTGCATATCTAGGAACTGAGATACTTTTGAAAGCAAATGAAATGTCTACTTCTCATTGTGAAGTTCAGTTACTCCCAAGCCCTTTGCACTTTCAGGTGCTTTTCGAAATTCTGTCTGTGGGTCAAGTGTGTTCTTGGAATTCGTTTAGCATTACTTGTTATGATTAGGTCCCTTCTAGAAGAAGTGAAATAGAGAATGAACTAATGGAGCAACTGGAAGAACTAGAGTTACTAATCTCCGAATGTTGTCACATTAATCTATGGCATATAGGTTTGTCTGCAGGGGACATTTACTTAAGGACATTTTGTCATTCTCTTTAGACAAGTCATATTAATTTTCTTCCAGACTAGTTTGTTAACAAGCTGAGAATCTAAGAAGAGAACAATAAAAGAGACATACCAGACAAGTCCGAAAAAATAATCGGTCTGCTGTTTACTGTAGTTCTAAATGACTTCAGAAAGATGACTTCACTTGTCACTAAAATACAAATGCCCACTGCCTAAGACTTTGTATTGTTCCACAGGAACACTGTGGAACTGCTTTACCACTGGATCAAGACACTTCTGTGTCCTGTAAAAAAATGTTTTAAATTATGTAAGCATGCAATAAACAGCATAAAGAAAAAGAAAAACCATTTTCTTTTCAGTGTATCATTTTTAACCCTGCCAAGGTTC